TTAGTCGTATGAGAGAAGTATCTGGGAGTGAGATATGCACCTTTATCGTATAGGACTCTATGGTGTACTGATACGACCTACTGATACGACACCGAGATAGTGGCTACGTTCGTTCGAGAAACTTTTTCAAACAACTGAAAAAGGAAGTTTTATTAGTAGCCATCTTGAAATCCAATATGGCGGCCTTCTAACATAATTTCCTGATGATTGCATGATACTCTCTGATATTAAAAACATGGTTAAAGGTGTGATTGACTGTGTTACGTTACTGTAGATATGAAGATAACAAAAATAACAATATTTTGAAATCAAATATGGCTGCCATCTGATATAATTTCTGATCATTGCATAATACTCCCTGATATTGAAAACATAGGTAAAGACCTTTGAATGACAGTGCTAGGTGCTGTAGATATGAATATTATTGATAAAAATCCAATATTTTGGCGGCTATTTTAATTTCAAGATGGCGGCCACTAAGCGGATTATTTTTTGGTTTTTTTTATTTTTTTTTTAATGATCCTTAGGTGTCATAGTATCACTGTGGGAAGTTTCATGCTTTCTTCCAAAAGTGCACGATTTTTCTTCTTAGCAGCTCTACTATATTAACGCAGTATCGTATCAAGTCGTATCGAACTCGATTCGAGTCAGTCAGATACGATCGGAGAGGACTTTCATCCAGAAGTATCGTAAGGGGAAATAATAGCGAACCGTTTCTAAAAAACAGAAATAGATTATGGGACGCTAATTAAATTCGGTATAGCCGCACAAAGAGCAATATTATTTTTAATAGAATTTACTGAGTAACCCAGATTAAAGCTGGAACCCAGGCTAAATTCCTGTATTAAAAATTAGTCTTATTTTTGTTTTCTATAGAACACATATAATTCCAGTCTACTCATTTGGTGAAACTGATATTTTTTACCAAGTGGCAAACCCGGAGGGTTCCCTTTGGAAATGGATTCAGAGGCAATCGAAAAAGTTAATGGGTTTTCCTCTAATAGCATTCTACGGAAGAGGTGTGTTTAACTACACATTAGGCCTTGTGCCACATCGCAGACCGATTAATACTGTGGGTATGTATCTATCTTTAAGCAACAGTGTGATAATATAGGACGCTCTACTTTTTGGATCAGCCGAAATGTATTTATCCTGTTATTGATCGATATATTACCCTTATAATTAAAGTTTACCACCAATATTGCCCATTCGCATTCCTCATACAGTCATTAAGGCATAAATTATAGAGGTCGCTATTTATTATTATTATTATTATTATTATTATTATTATTATTATTATTGTTGTTGTTGTTGTTATTAGTCTCGTTTTAAAATAAAAATGTATATTCATGGCGGTGTACTTGAACGAAAATTTATGATTTATAGTATATACGGTGCGTAGAGATAGGAGACTATCTTTAATCTACTCTATACGTACACCGTTGCCTTTGGAAATGATTAAAGTAATAGTGAATCTTTAGCTATTATAGTAGTTACTTGCATTATGTCATTTATGATATTTATACAGTGCACCCTCCAATTCGAGAACCTCTAATTCCCAGACCCCTCTAATTTGAAACCACTTTATCAAAGAACCAAATAACAATCGTCAATCTAAGCTAAGCTTTTAACTGGAGACCAAACCCCAGGACAAACCCCAAATTTTCAGGTCCCAAAGTGATCTCAAAAACTGTATTTTAATTTTTATTTCCAACTTATTAATTGCTTCATTTCTTTCTGTATTTTCACCATATTTTTATGGTTTTTTTTCATCGAATCCGTTCCGCATACTGTACCGGTACTAAATACTAAGCAATGCTATGAATTATATTTGTATAGGCCTACGTATTTAACGCAGACATTCTAATTCGATGTTAATGGAACTTACATACTTATAATCATTGTGTTTGATTTGGTTTCTTTTGGATAGTCGGACACCCAATCGAAGTTGAGAAGATAGAACATCCAACCCAGGAAGACATTGACAAACTGCATGAAACTTACTGCAAACAACTTCAACAGTTATTTGAGGACTACAAATGTCAGTTTGGGATTCCCGAGGATAATCATTTAGATATATTGTAAAGTACTATTAGGGTAGAATGGAGTTTATTGTAATATCTTTAATTGATAATTTCAGAAATGACTATGTTACTATGGTATATTAAGAATTGAAATGCAAGAATAGACACAATTTGGAAATTTCACCATATCATTTCAAACATTGATACTACCTTTTTACTTAGGAACCAGTAGGATAGTTTTAGTGTGTGTTATTGTTTCATTGTTTGTACATTGTTTCATTGTTATAATATTAAATTAATTTTAAATATATGTTTTATTGTATACGTTTTGCTTAGGCCCCCGTTTATTTTTACAAACCCATTTAGGCTTCATGAGGGTTAGTTTCGTATACTGTTTCGATTGATTTTTTTTTCTAATTTTTCTTGGCTTTTTGATAAAGGCTATTTGTGTTGCCTCATAAGATCTTACAGCACTTATTTTTATTTATTTATTTAGGCACACAACACATGCACCAAGGATTGTCAATAGCGAATTATATCACTGTCCTACTTATGAGTGAAAATCCCTTTCACAAAACAAACATATTACACAAACTAAATCTCAATTTGAGGTTTAGGAAGTGGAATTTTTTTGATTGTGAGAAAAAATTTGGCAACACTGACAGGAATTGAACCCAGGACCCTGGGATTATGAGGCAAGAAGCTTAAGCTGTTCAACTCTACTCCACTCCACTTTATCATCATTCTTCCCCCGATGACGGTTACAGTATACCCCTGGTTCTTAATTCATTTAAAGGACCAAATTATTTTTAGATTTGATATCACGGGCCAAAGAAAAACTTCGAGTTTCAAGTAACTTGCTATAGGCCTACTTCATAGACCCAAGGTAAAATTTTGAGATGCTATGGTCAAAACCCCTGTTGGCCACACAGAAATTTTAAGTTTTTTGGCAATTTTAAATTTCTATTCTATTTTCAATTGTACTATACAGTACAATATTAGGACACTATATTCAATACAAATTTTGCACCATATGATTGATATAATATGTTGCCAAAGAGGAATTAAGACACTTAATTTTCACTATTTCTTGCTTATTGATCTTTTAATTCTTGCTCGTGTAAAATCATCAAACAAAATTTGTGGCGCCAATATTTTCACAACGGCAGGGGAGACTAATGTCCCAGAACCTCTGAAGCTCTATAAACATGAAATTACAGACATAATCGTAACAAAAACACAGTCATTAATTTTATCAGTCAAAGTTTGTTCAAAATAATGTGTATTTTCTGTGTAATTTAACCCATCCTATACCGTATCCACCAAATACCAGGGCTTTAAAGTCTAAAAAAAATTCTCCTCAAAAATTTCGGGTCTACACATAATAAAAACAAGTCTATGCAATTTTTATATTTGATCTGCTATCTCATATTTAGCTGAACGAAGATTACCAATCTTCTGACGTTTGTCGATTGGTTTTTAACAGATTTAATTCTAGATCTGGGTGGGGTCACCTCTACTTATTTTCACTTTGGTCCAGTTTTGTGTTTTGGCCTTCACTTTATTTAAAGAATATATATATATATATATCTGTCTCTTATACACATCTAGATGTGTATAAGAGACAGAAGTTTCACAATGTGCTCAAGAGACAATTGTTGACCGGAGATGTGGTGGTCAACTTCTGTAAGCTGCTGATTACCAAAGAGGACACGTGTACGTTACCTGGTAACATGGTATACATCAATCAGGAAATGAGTAGTTGAAACACTTCCTTAATTACCATACTGCCTCTTATCAAGAATTGGTTTTAATTTTGCAAAAATTAATTTAGCAACCATTCCCTTGACAACTTTGGCCAAGGTAGGGGTGAGTGACACATGTCTAAGTTAATCGATGCTAGGAGGATACACTTTTGGAACAGGAGTAATTTGACTGTATCTAAAATAATTAGTTCCGACTTACTGTGCATAAAATGGTAGAGTCAATGCAACAAATATCACAAGTAAACAGTTATTGAGGGCGATCTTGAAATTCCAATCAATAAATTTGCCATATGGCATTAAGGCCCCAGAACAATTGCTTTTCCCCCCATTATAAAAATTTGAGAGTGATTTTGTTTAATTGTATTTGTTGATATTCTAGGATCCAACATACAGTTCAGGTAACTTTGGTGAAATCAAAGAGTTGATTTTAGGAATGCTTGATACATACAACTATGAAGAGGTGAGTGTGCTCATTATTTAGTTATTTTATGTATATATTTCTTGTATTTCAAAACACAGGAGTCATATACGAAAAGATTCCGTATTTTCACAATTTTTCAACCCAAAATTGAATAATGTTTTTTTTTTTTTTTTTGCCATCGTTAGTCAGGGTATGCACAATAGAAAGAAATGTAAGAGTTGGCTACAGTTATTAATATATCAGCTGGTAGCATTTCAAGCTCTACCCTCTATAGTGTTACAAGGGTGTTCCGTTTTAGGTTTAAAAAATATGGTATCAGTTGCAATAGCCAGCCAAGAAATAAGCAATTATCATTATTTTATTTATTTATTATTTCGTACTAACCAACAGCGATAACAACCGCCACTAACAGGTTAAAATACATATAGAATATTTATAGTAGAGCGGCTAAGGAGAAAAATCGTGCACTTTTGGAAGAAAGCATGAAACTCCCCCCAGTGATACTATGACACCTAAGGATCATTAAAAAAAATAGACCCCAAAAAATAAGCCGCTTAGTGGCCGCCATCCTGAAATTCAAAATGGCCGCCAAAATATTGGATTTTTATCAATAATCTTCATATCTACAGCACCTAGCACTGTCATTCAAATGTCTTAACCGATGTCTTCAATATCAGGGAGTATCATGCAATCATCAGAAATTATGTTAGATGGCCGCCATGTTTGATTTTATGATGGCTGCCAAGATATTTTATTTTTGTCATTATCTTCATATCTACAGTAACGTAACA